CATTTTAGAAAGTTACCGCAAATGAAATATTTGTAGATTGCGATAATGAAAACGTACAGGTTTTAGACGGATGTTAATTATTTAATAAAAGCCTTAATTATTTAATTTTTTTTCTCCCTATATGTTCGCTATTCGGCGTTTCGACAGTTGTGTTGATATGTTGCAAATACGTACGCCCACAGCTACCAATAAAACTCTTTATACTCATAAAAAAAGGAGAGTTCGCACCGCGGATTGTGAACATGAATCTCAAAATGTCTTAAATATTTAGAATTCAGATAAAGAGAAAACAGATTAGCATTCCACACCCACAATAAATACGACAGCGGTAGGCGTATTGAATGAGTAGTATTTTTAGCTCGCCTGGACGGGATTAGACCCCAGACCTCGGCCAACACGCGGAAGTCGAAGAACGTGGGTTCGAACATCAATGGCCAGGATAATGTCCACTGAGTCATCCCGATCACCGAGGGGCGGAAGACATCCACTGACTCACTGCTCTCGGAGGGAAATTCGATGATTTGGCGATTTGTCGCCGATCTTGAAGGACTGCGTAGGCGTTACATAACGTCCCCTGTCGGGTGTGTCATCATTCATAATTTTCAGTATCATATGAGTTCTTAGTATTCAATTAAAGATATTTATCTCAGGCGGTTATATTGACACGTCGTTCATGAATGATATTTTTATTACTCAGATGTGATCTAGTAGGTATCATTCTACACGCAACAAACTCCCTGATGATTTCCTTGCATAAGGTTCGTGTTGGCCGAAATTGGTCTTGGTCTTGAACTTTGCAAGACCAAGCCCGCCTAACTGTTGCAAGACCAAGACCAGGACTGAATCGAGAGAAAAAAATCGAGTTTGTAAATAAAAATTATGGCAAATTAGTTACTAATACTTGACAATCTTAATTACTATATGTAAATAATTAGTATAACCAATATACTTTTGCATTTAACTCCTCTAATTATTCATTCGGGTTTAGTTAGGTTTCTCGTATCTAAAAAAATACAGTAATATCTCTACAGCAATAAGCTAATAAGTAACGAGCAAGACCATGGCCAAGACTGAGCTTGCAAGACCAAGACTCGTCTCGGTCTCGCATTTGGGCAACACTACATAAGGTAAACTTTGTAGGCACAATGGAGTATGTGAGGGACAGCTAAATCTTCAAACATCAAACGTATCCAATCCTTTCAGTCTTCAAGTCTTTTGAGCAATATTCAATGATCCATACTACGTCACAAACAAAACCTTACTAACGACCTCAACATCTCATTTGTCCTCGACATAATTCCATCCAGGTTCTCAAGCTTTCATCAAAACTTTACCCATCTTAATCCCTTAGCACAATAGCTCTCTTTGAGAGCTGGGATCTCTTTGAGTGCTGCTTTGCCATTCACATGGTTTAGAGTTCCCCAGGCTGAATGTAAAATATTGTAAATAAGTAGAAATGTGTGCCAATGTATTGTTTCTTTTAATTTATTTTTTCTTTTTATAAGTATTTGTTCTAAAAAGATTTAAGCTGTATATATATCACCATATATTTATTAATTTTTGTTACTCTGATAACGTTTCGGCTCACATTACCATTTTGAAGCCATTTGTAAACATTTACATATTTAACCTTCGATATTTTACAAAATTAACATCCTATATATTATTTCTAAAAGGTGTTTTTTTTTTAACGGTAAGCTACGGTAACTTCGTCAATTCTTCATTAAATCGAATGATTGACCAGAAAAAAAGTTATGGAGGAAAATAAACTTTATTAGTGAATAACTCAAAAAGTATGCATATTTTTCTCGATTGTACCCATAATAATCAGAAAGATTACTAAATTAACTACCAAACAAAAAAAAAATTGAAAACATCAGACAATTATTAACAAAGATACCGTCCATTAGTTTTGGTATACTCAATAATGTCTTTCTGTTTAAAGATATTGCATTTAGGAGTAAAATAGTCTACTACAGTTTTTTTTCCTGTCTTTGATATTAACTTTATTATTTCTCAAAGACATTTGGTTGTTCTTATATTTTCTTTTCTCTAATAATTTAGAATATCCTATGATCGGGGCATTATTTTGTCTTTATTACTTTTATTATCTTTCTAGTCAGCGTTTAAAATAGGTCCTAGCAAAGCAAATTGTATAATTATTTTGGTCTATTATGTTTAATGGAATATTGTAATCGACTAAGGAAAAAATATTAACTCCTTCCTTACATAATACATAGGAACTACTTATTTCCATATTATTTTACTATTTATTCACTAAACAAAATGTTCTACGAATTTTTAGCACGAGCCAACTAGTATAACTTAATAAAATAGTGATGTTAATCATCATTTCAATTTAACAATGAATAAATGTTATCCCAGATAGGATTGAGTCTATAAATTAGATTACATGTTAAAATTACATCAAGTTTTTTTCCAAAATTAATAAAAAAATGGTGAAATGTATTCAGCATAAATCAGTTTATAACTAATTAGAATTTTGCCTTAAACAAAAATATATAGAAGTATTCGTTATTTTTATTGCTCTTTTAGGTTGAAGCGGCATTGGCCTAGAGATCTTTTGTATTATATATCTTGGAGTTCTGGCAACGGCCAGATTCTCCACTCAAGATATAAGTTTATGTGACTAAAGAGCTCTCGCTAAATCTCCACTGGCTTTAGAACGAGGAAAGCGGTTGGGAGAGTAGCGCAGGGATCTCTTGGAGTCCTGCTTTTTCTTCCATAATTAAGGCTTGCGGTTCTCTGCCTGATTGTATATATTGTATATAAGTATGACTGTATGTTTTTTAATTTACTTATCTTTAGGTTATTTTATTTTTTATTGTATAATTTTTGATTATTATTTAGTTATTTTACTTTTGAAATTTTATGTTTTATGTATATATGGTGTGAATATGTTCATATCTTATTATAATTATTGTTCACGTGACGGATTATTATATTTTAAATAAATAAATTTTAAAAAATACTCTTTTAATGTACTGTTTTCTTTTTTAAAAGTATTTTTACTTTGTGTTATTCTTTTAATGTACTATTTTTCATATTGTGTTATAAATAAAGTGTTATGTTTTAGTTAGAGTATGTTAATACGATTATTTAATATATATACAATGAGAAAATTCTACTGGAAAAAAGTTTTCGTCCGATTGAAGTAAATTTAATTTAGAGATTGGTAAGTAGTTTACTGATGAATTACACGGATAAAACCAAAATGTAAGTATTTGTAGTTAAAATTTCTTTAATGAGTTAGCCGACGTTTCGACCAAAACATGGGTCATCATCAGGTTATGGTTTGGAAATTGAGACAAGAACTCACTTTGGCTATCTGATTAAAGAAATTTTGACAGCAAATCATGACAATTTTGTTTCATATAAAGTATATATATATATATATATATATATATATATATATATATATATATATATATATATATTTTTTTTTAACGTTTTAGACAAAATTATATTTTGCCACATATTTAAGTTTAAGAATTTAAATTAAATTTCCGAAAAAAAAGAGTAATATTACAAGCTGAAGCTAATATATTTCAATAAATAATTTTTTTTGTATTTTTTTTAACGGAAATAAGTTTTCATAGAAACTAAATGACAATTCCATAGAAAATATGGAATAACTGTTTTTTTTTTCCTAGATAAAACATAAATATATGGTTTAACAATAGTTTATATTAATATTCTTCAGTTTGCATTTATACTTAAAGAAATATATTCTTACGGTTTATTAGATATTTAAAAAATTGATTCCTACCGAAAGTGGTATAGTATATGAAATTTGTGTGATGCATTACACCAGTTTGTTTTTTTTAAATATCGCTATGAAGGCATTATTGTTTTTCTTTTAAAAGCTGGTTAATTCATCTGAACTGTTATAACTGAACTATTAAAATAACCGGTTTTTGCTTAAACTAACTGGTTACTCCCAATTCTAATACCGTCACAGGCATTCACTGTATATGAGGTATTGAAAGGTGATGAAAAAACGTACCATAAAATAAATAATAATATTAATATTCCCATAGTAAACATCATAAAACAATATTTTAATAAATAACTGATCTATAAATAGTATTGTAATTGTTACAAATCTGCATAGTTATATGGCGGTACATACAATCCTTGAGAACAGGTTCGGTCAGAAAGTATTAGTCATTTATAAAGCTAAGGAATAAACAGATAGGATCAGGGACTATTTTTAGAAATGGAAAGAGTCGACTAACAAACAAGCAATTTCTTGTGCAACAGGTTGAGAATATCTTAGAAATATATCACAGTTATCAGGTTTCATCTATTATTTTTTCCCAGTATAACTAAATTCAAAAATTAATCTGAACTTTCCTTTGGAAAAAAATAATAATAAGGTTTAGCGAACCCGAAGGTTCGATGCCGATACCACCAATCGATGTCCACATTCTTACATCCACCGGGCTTCGTCTAAACCTAACCAAATCAGCCTAAACGCAATTTTTCCACCTTCGCTTTGGTATACACCACAAATGCTTGCGCATATTAACTTTTTAGAAATTAATATGGGGAAGGTTATCTACCTATGATAAAGTGTTATTGTGCTTCTCAGTGTTTTGTATTTTTCAAGTTTGTTTTGTTAGTTTTGTTGTATCGTTTCCTACTGTTTGTGTTATTTTAGTGTTTTATAGTTTTTTGAACATGATTTAGTTTTAGTTTATGTTTATTTAGTTAATTTTATAAACTTTTTGAGTGAACAGTGGAGGTTAAGGTTAACTTTGTAGTTTTCACGAAGGTTTAATCTAACCAAAAGGACGTTTAGAGACTATTACGTTGGTGAAGCACTAAGGTAAGTTCATATTAAAGCCTTACTTTTGAAGATAGGAAATTTATAAGTTTCCCGAACGTAGGTTAGATTTTGAGTGTTGAATATTTCCTTCTACTGTTGTTCACCCATTATTTCAACGTATAAAGTTGTTAATTTTGGATTGCGTAAGATGGCTGATGAAATTGCATCAGCAATGGAGCAGGAAATGGTGGAAGAACAGGCTATAAAGTGCCCAAGGCCTTCAGCAAAGAGGCAAAGGAAAGGATCTCCTGACGCCCGAGAAGAAACAGATAAAGAACGTGTAGACGATAGTCTTCTGCAAGATGCACGTAGAATCAAAGAAAACATCAGGGTCTACATGAACGCAACAGACAGGAACGTGAGTGCGAAGGTACAAAAGCACGTTAATGGGAAAATTCAGCAGTTAATAGATATAATGGAGACAATATATGATAAGAACTATGAAAAAACGTTTTTAGTACAACGTGTGGTAAAGGACACATTAGCTTCCTCTGAAATGTATGATATCATAGTAAATGCATTAGTGGAAAAAGCAGTACCTATGGTTATCGAGGGACTCAAGTCGGAAAGTAAAACCATACAAAGACCACTGTCAGAACCTCAGACATCTCGGGAGTTTCCATGCGTTAAAGAACAACCGCTATTAGCCGATGCCCACTCTATTATTGAGACCACGGAGAATGAAAGTTTCCAGGAAGTAAAGAAAAAGCAAAGAAGGAAAAAGGCTCTTCCACAAGTGGCCAAAGAGATCGAGGCCTCTAAACCAATAGCAGAGGAAAGTTTGACCAAGAAAAGGTCTACACATCAGACTACGATGGCCGATATTGTTAAAGGGCTTCCATTAAAACCGATGGATACTACAAGACCAACTTATGTTACCATCGCTTCTCAAGGTAAAAGTGCAGCTGACATCATCAACAATCTGCCTTCTCCAACTGAACTAGGAGTCAAGGCGAGAGTTGTACGGGCGACCAAAGCTGGCTCAGTTTTAGTTTGTGTAGATGAGGGTGCCCATGCGAAAAAAATAATTGAATGGCAAAAATTAAAAGAAGTTGGGATGGAGGCAAAACTAGCCTTAAAAAGAAAACCAAAAGTGGAGGTAAAAGGAGTTCCCCTTTCATGGAGTGCGGAAAATCTAGAAAGGGTGCTATGGGAAAGGTTGGCTGCAAAATCGGCCGTTATTTCTGAGAACCAATTAGGTAATATAAAGCCATTGTTCTCATCAATGGCTAGAAATAAAATTACCAATAATTGGGTGTTAGAAGTACATCCAATGGTAAGATATAATCTACTCAAGGAGGAAATAATTACAGGAGGTTGGTGGTCACTGACAATCTTAGATTACCCCGATGCTCCTCCCTGTCTAAGGTGTCAGGGATATGGACATACAAAAGCTACTTGTGAGGCAAATGGCATAGTATGCAAGTGGTGTGCGGCGAGTGGGCATATTGCTAAAAACTGTCCCGCAAAAGGAAATAAGACCGCACCTACATGCGTTAACTGCGTGAGGGAAGGTGTTCAAAAAAGTAAGGCTAAACACCAGGCAGGAAGTAGAGAATGCCCAGTGCACATCAAGAGATCTCAAGAATTAGTGAGGAGAACTCACTATGATTAGACTCAACATCCTGCAGTTGAATATGGGCCGCCGGCATATTGTGGCTGACGAGCTTCGCGCCATGGCACAACGCTACGATATCATGGCGGTCCAGGAACCTAGCTGCCGTGGGAACAGGGTTACGGGGTTTGGCCTCACGTCAAGAGTTATAGCCCTGAGCAGTGGAGATAGGAGGCCCAGGGCTGCAATAGTGATTAATAATCCTAACCTTGACGTGATGGATCTGAGGCAACACACCATGGCGGATTATGCATCTTGCTATGTTAAGTGGGGCAAGATTTCTTTCACATTGGTATCGGCATACCTACCTGTGAATAGTGATGTAGAAGAAAGCATATCCGCTATGGAGGCGATCATTAGAGAGATGAGGAATGTGATCATGTGCTCAGATACCAACTCCTGGAACACGGTCTGGGGGTCCAATATTACTGACAGGCGAGGCGCTAAAATGGGAAATTTCATAGGCAGAAATCACCTTGTCGTGATGAACGAACCCTCTGCCACCCCTACCTTCTCTGGAGGCATGGGGCAGAGTTGGATTGACGTCACGATCGCCACGCCTGCGCTTACGAGGTATATTGCTGATTGGACTCTCAGATCTGATACGAGTTCCGATCACGTTGCGATAGCAATTGGCCTGGTAAATGAGCCAGGATGTTCCCACGGTACTGATAAGGGTTTCGTCACTAAAATAAATGACTGGAGTGTCTTCAGGTCCTACCTGGAAGGAGTGATTGCAGACGAGGAGTGGGAAGCGGCAGAGATGGATGTAGTTGACAATCTGGACTACAAGGTGTCCAGGATTACCAACAACATTCGTGATGCTGCCGAACACTCCCTCAAGCACCGGAAGGCGAGGGTTCGACCTGTCCCATGGTGGACGCCAGCCTTAACTGTTCTAAAACGAGACCTCTACAAGGCCCGGCGGTCATATCAGAGGTGCAGATGCGAAGAGAGGCGCACTGTACTTCGCAATGAGTACAAGTCAAAAGCCAGGATATACCGAAACGAGGTTCGCTCACAAAAGCGGAAGTCTTGGGATGATTTCATCATTGAAGAGTCTTTGAAGAATCCCTGGGGTATTCCGTATAGGGTAGCATTGGGTAAGTTGTCCCCGATGCAGACTATTGCAGCCTTGCGGTATCATAATACTGAGGCAACCACCCTTGAAGAAACTGCCAATGTTTTCATTGAAGCAATATATCCCAGAGATGACCCAACCCAGGACAGCGAAAATGATGATTTTGTGAGACGCACCACGGTATATCCACCTGGTTCAGATTTGTGCCCACCATGGGACATTCACGATCTTCGTATTGCCGTGGATAAGCAGAAGACTAATCGTGCTCCAGGACTTGATGCAATAGATGCAGCGATCTTGAGGAACAGTATCACGTATATTGAAGACCGGCTGTTGAGTATTTTCAATGAATGTCTGGATATGGGATACTTTCCAAGAAGATGGAAGATCGCTGATTTGAGACTACTCTACAAGGGAGGAGATAGGGACAAACAACTCCCTAATTCATATAGACCTATATGTCTCCTCCCTGTGATTAGCAAGGTCCTGGAGAACCTCATGATGACTAGTTTACGGCCTGTTTTCGCTAGAGCAAGTCATCCACGGCAATATGGATCAACCAGAGGCAGAGGAACCGCTGATGCCCTGCTGAGAGTGCGCAGAGATGTTGAGGAGAGGGCGGAGCGGTATGTCATGTTGCTTCTTTTCGATATATCCTCCGCCTTTGACAGCGTATGGTGGCCTAGCGTGCTCCAGCAGCTGCAGAGGTATGATGCTCCTAGTAACTTATACACATTAGTAAGAAGTTATCTCCAGGATAGAAGTGTCAAGATTAGAGGCAATTACTACGAGGTAGAAGCTTCCATAGAGAGAGGTTGCCCTCAGGGATCGGTGCTTGGTCCTGCTCTATGGAAGCTCGTCTTTGATGAGTTACTGGGAGTGTTAGAGGAGGAGCGGTTTCCTGCCACTGCTTACGTTGACGACCTAGCTGCTGTGGTGGCCTCCAACAGCAGAGCTGGAGTCAAGAGAGAAGCAGAGCGATGCGCCAGCCTAGTCGCTAGATGGTGTGAGGGGAAGAAGATGAGGATGGCTGCTGCTAAGACTCAAGCCATCCTCCTTAAGGGAAAGACTGACAGGGCACACCCTATAACGATGTACATAGAAGGTCAGAGGATACGTCCAAGTGAGGTGGTAACCTACCTAGGGGTTAGGTTAGGTGTAGGCCTCAATATGACGCCTCATTTGGAATATCTGGCAGGTAGGGTGGCCCTAGCAATGAACGGTCTAAGTCGTGTGGGGGGCGCATTTTGGGGCCTTAGGTATCCAGCCACTATCACTATTTATAAGGGTGTTGTGGAGGGTATCCTTAGGTATGCGTCTCCCTTCTGGTTCCGAAACCTCACACTCAGACAAAGAAATAGGCTAGCATCGACTCAGAGAACTGCTCTGCTTCGGGTCACCAGAGCATATAGGTCTACGTCGCATGAAGCAGTGCAGGTCTTAGCGGGGGTGGTGCCTCTCGACCTCCTCCTGCGAGAAGAAGTGACCAGGTATGACTACAAGAAGGAGGGCTCAACTAGTCTATCGGAGAACCTACGGATGAGGATTATTGAAAACCCAAATAAATGGAAAAAGATTATCCGGGAGGAAACAATTGAAGATTGGAGCAGACGGTGGGTGACGACTCCGAAAGGCAGTACCTTAAGAAAATACTTTCCCACCGTTGAATCTCGGTTACAGGCGAAATGGGTCCTCCCGGACTATTGGGTTTCACAATTTCTCACGGGACATGGGGGTTTCAGAGCTAAACTCCATGGCTACGGACAGGATATAGATCCCCACTGCCCCGATTGTGGTGTTCCGGGGACTGTTGAGCATGTGGTCACGGCCTGCACTGCTTTCGACGAATTAAGAGCGAGGTTAATGAGAACCACGGGGATTTACGTCCTCACTGAGGAGGAGTTTCCTCAGTTGGTGAGTGAAGAAAACTTCCCGCGGTTCAAAGAGTTTATAAATGGCTGGAAGACGGCGGTGGGCCCAGCTCACTTCAACCTAGGTGCACGCAGAAGGAGAAGAGGACCAGTCCCAGGAAGACCTCCGGATTCGGGAAGCCAGGCCTAAAGGAGCCAGGAAAAAGTAGAAGAGCTAGCTGTGTGCACAGCTTAGAATTTTGTAAACTGATATTATGGCAGTAGTGTGTTATTATGCATTAATGCTTAACATCACACTACTGCATACACCCGTGTTGCCCTGGTGGCATGGGAGGGTGGAAAACAAATAAAAAAAAATAAAAAAAACTTTTTAGAAATTCTTTCGTTACTAAGTCCGGCGATTTTACATGCCCATTATATTGGCCTCAACTTAATCATCTGAATTATATTAACCGGATACAGTTCACGCAATTCAGAGATGTGTAACCGAGAGAGAGAATAGATTAGTCACTTGTTTTATAAGTTGAGAGCAGATCTGTAGTCCAAAAGTCTGGTTATTTCTTGTTTTTTTTAAATTGTGTGTCTATGTTCCAGTTGTGTTTTTTGTCCAAGTGTAGACATGAGTTTTTGAGCGAACTGTCTTATTTTCGATTGTCACAACCGGACATAAAATCTTCCTCAGGGAGAAGCTAAGATGAGCTTCTATTTATTTTGATTTTCCATTTTTGGAACCATTTTTCAAGGTCGTAGAAGTGATTTTGAAAGGCTATTGAAGTGATATTAGATTTTTTGTGAGAAGAATTGGCGTATCGTTAGCGAAGCTATAGAGAATATAGTCCGTGGTACAAACCCCCTCATATCGAATTATTAACAACCGCCTGAAACTTCATAAATATTTTCATCTCATCGTAACCTATAACTATTTTATTTACGAAAACTCTTGAAAAAGCCGCGATGGATAATATAGATGTTTTAAAAACTCAAAAATTTGTCCGAAATGGACTTTCGTTCAGTTTATTTTATATTGATAAAAAATAATACAATATGAACCACAGAATACATATAAATTAAAGTTATACAATTTGAACGAGTAGTACAATTAAAGGCGTTGATGATCTTGATGTTTTACA